TTTTTTTTTTTACTTAAACCAAAGTTCTTATATGGTGTACGCCAATTCTTGTCTTCCAAACTCAAAAAAACTGGCCAGAAAGTTAGGGTTTCTCTTTAAGTCTTTGCGTCTACTGCTTGATTTCATTGCTCTAATTTTGTTTGTGAAATAATCTGCAGAATGTCGAACATAATTCTTTTTGAGGATATCTTTGTGGTTGATCAACTCGACCCGAGTGTCAAAAAGTTTGGTAAAGGTAAAATCTTTTGCTACATTTTTTTTTTTTAATAAAGTCAATTAGCTCACTTGGGTGTTGAATGTTACTTAGTTTCTTCTTCGCAGCATGCGCTTGCTGCATGGTCATATGTGATCTGTCACTTCCTAATTGAATTTTCTATCGTATGCAAAACTCCCTACTTTGTTTGATGGTTTTTTGATAGGCAAATAAGTTAGTGTGCTTAAATATTGCAGGCCCCTTGTCTTGACTCAATAATCAAGTTATCTGGGTTAATTGGTACCAACATGGTTAAACTCTTAAATATGGAGCTGAAAAAGGGTTAGAAGGACAGGGGAGGGAAATTGAAATTGAGACAGGGTAGAGGAGTGTAAAGGGAAAAGAGGACCTTTGAACTAATGCTTGAACAATGAATAAATTTGTGCTTGAAAATCTGAAGTTTATTTGTTCATTCACAAGAAAGAAGAAAGAAGATGGCCAAAAGATTATTATAAAAAAAAAAAAAAGGGGAAAGAAGAATGGAGTTGGATCTGAGTTCTTTATGTGTTCTCTTAATGGGTTTTAATATAAATTTTGATTTGATCTTTATGACGTGCTTGCAGTTACACGTATTGAAGCACGGAACCAGAATGCGAAATGTTTATGCACCTAGACGTGAATACAGAAATATATCCCATGCGTGTAGGTGAAAAATTTACAATGGCATTAGCTCACACATTGAATTGGGATGGAACACCAGATACTGGCTATTTCGCTCAGGTATTCTGCCTTGCATGTTTTTCACATTCTTTGTTATTATCTTTGCCACCATAGAAATTGTTCTACTTGAAAGAGATGTACTTTCATTTATATAACTGTTCCTGCATTTTGCATCATTGTTATTAGGGAATTATCTTTTTCACTTTTTTTTTTTTAATGGTATAAGGTAGGATAAATGATTATCAATTAATTATAGAGAACAGAATGAAATAGAAAAAACTCAAAAGCGTCACTGCATAGCCAAGAAATTCTTTCTATATACCAGGGAGGGAGGAAGTCTTTTGCAGACAAGTATGAATATATCATGCATGGGAAGCTATACAAAATCTCAGATGAAAGCTCAGGAAAATTGCTTAAAGCGTATGTATTTATCTTCATGTTTGACAAGTTTGTCTTGGTATTGGTATTGGTATTGTTACTCTGTGGTTCGATATTCACCTTTTGCTACTATTTTACTGCATGACTAGATCTAACAATCTACTATGAGGACTTCAGTCGCTTTGTAATCTCAGTGCTTGATCCCTAAATTACTTCTTTGTTTTGTTTTCAGAGAGATTTATGTTTCATTTGGTGGGCTCCTAATGCTGCTGAGGGGAGAACCTTCTCATCTTGCTCACTTTGAGCTTGACCAGAGGCTGTTTCTCCTTATTAGGAAGCTATCAAACCTTGTTCTAGTATCCCTAATATCAACTAAATTATGTAATCATCTTAGCAGCGATTATTGTAATCTATGAACTCCATATCTCTGCATTATCCGAATTGTACTTTGAGATCTTTGGTGAAATCTACATTTTGAAGTCTTCTCTCTCAATTGTGATTTTAAGTGATTATAAGCTTTAGGCTAAAATGAGCTACAGATTTCAACATGATGGGCAAATCTAAGTGAACAACTATTGGTAGCATTTGAATATTTACTTGCAGAATTAACTTTGAAGATAAAATAAAGTTTTGCAATATAAAGTAATGAGATTGCATTAACTATAAGGAAATCTATTTACAAAACTAAAATTTAATTGCATTGACAAAACTTGCAAAATTACTTATCTAAAAGAGAACCTTTAAAGGCAAAGGGACAAGTCCTACATAAAACAATTAAAACCTAAAACTAGAGAGTTTGAGAACTGATCTCCTAACCTATAGGCTAATTGAGAGCTTGACAAAAACATTTTGTTGTGTTGTTTTGTGTTGAGAGGGGTAGGTTTCGTTTGAATGTGTTGTTTCTTCATATTTGTAGCTAATGAATCTTTCAAAAATTACCTATAACCACCCACAACTTAATTACAAAAATGTGTCAAAACTACATACTCTAACTAGATATGTCAACAGCAAACTTGGTCAGAGACTACTCTAGAATTTGCCACCTATCTATCACTTCATTAGATTAGCCTCCCACATCTCCCATTTGCTAAACTTGGCTAGTAACTTCCCCTAAAATTTAGCCATTATCTCTACTAAAATCAAATAATTACAAGAAAATTTTTAGAAGATAGTTACCAACAACATATTTGGTATTCCATGTGATAGTCATCGTAGGGTTTGTCATACTTTATATCACAAGAAAATTAAATCTAAGATGTTTTAATAATAATTTTGCAATTTATAGTGCAAATAGGCATCAAAAGCATGTAATGGGCCACTAAATTTCTTTACTAACAAAAAAAAAGGGACAATTATTATGGTTAAATATTTAGGGTCTACTTTGTATTAATTCATAGAAGTTGTCCTTAAATTGGAAAATTGCTATAAGAATGTGTAGTTGACAAAAATTAAGTCAATTAAAGTTTATAGTTTCTTAAGAAATTTATTTTTCAAAATTTAAGTGAGAAATTATTCTCAAGAAAATACTAACTTTAGTTGATTAAACATTCGATAGCAATTTTTGGAGCAGCAACATCTACTGAAATTTGCATACCAAACAGGCTCTTATGAAAAAAATGTGATAGAACTTGAAATTTGAATACCAAACAGGACTTAGGGCGCGGGAAGGAATGGAAGTTTCACCAAGTTTTGGGCCAAATTTTCTTTAAAAAGGAAAAAACTTCATAAAAATTTCCACGGAAAAGTTCACAGAGCTTAATCAGGCCTAGTCGTCTAGATTTCTCAACCCAGCCCACCTGTGTCCAAAAAAACTAACAATACACACACAAAAAAAAAAAGGGGTATAAATAGCAACATGGTGGCGAGAAACGGAGCCGCCACGGCGAACGGAGGAGATAACGAAACTTAGCCACAGCGCCGTCGCTTTTACCACCAGCAACGCTCCCACCGTAAGGCCGGAGACGGAGAATCCCCAATTTTCTCTCACACATCCAGGTATTACCCTATATTCCCAATCTCCCCCCCGTCGATTTTTCGTTTTCTCTCATTCGTAATTTCGGTAAATTTGAATGTCAAAATTTAGGGTTCTAAAATGGAACGTAAGTCGCATAATCCTGAGGAGTCTCTACAGCTTCGATAGATTTGATTTGAATCCCATTTATATATCTTTCACTGGATGTTAATTGGTTGCTGAAGCTGAATTGTTATTTATTTTTATTTTGGGCAGTGGGGTTTTGTCTTTACTTATTGTCCAATTGTTTATTTTCCAGAGCATTGTACTTTTTTTGAAAAATGGGTGTTGGGTATGAGCAGGTAAGTAATTTGGCAGTGAAAGTCTTTAGCTTTGTTATTAAAAGCATGGACTTAGATTTGGGACCTTTTTTATCTTGACTGGGTAAATCATTTGGTGATTATCAAAGAACACAAAGCTAGCTGAACCAAGTTTCTTTGGTTGCGGCACGCTATTTCCTTTGTTTAAAACTCATCAATTCTAGCCCAATATTCTGTAGTCTGTGTCTTTTTAGTTTCCAAGGTTCTGGTTTACCATTCCCCCTCTACCCACCTCTTGGTTGTAGTAGAATACACTCTTCTGGCTCATTCATAGGATGGTGTTAATGCTTCTTCTTTAATAATGTCTTTATTTTCTCTCCTCTCTCTGTTTACTGAATTTTATTTGGTTGTTCTTATTTGATTTATGTTGCCTCTCTCCCACCTCTCGGTTTAGGTTTGGTTTGCAAATGGCCAAAACTGGCAAGGTGCGGAAGTCTAATTCACAGTGTCTGAGGTCAAATCCTTATCCATTATCCTCTTGCATAAAAAGAGCTGTTAAGGAAGGTCACAAGAAGGGGAAATGCTCCAAAGCTCAGGAGAAGAAAGATTGGAAAGATGCAACATGCTCTGTTTGTCTGGAGTTCCCCCATAATGCTGTTCTTCTCCTTTGTTCCTCTTATCACAAGGGCTGCCGCCCCTATATGTGTGCAACTAGCAGACGGTTCTCCAATTGTCTTGATCAATATAAGAAAGCTTACACAAAAGTTACTTCAATAAACAATGGGTCAGCGAATAATTCAAGGGTTATTTTGGGTTCAGAGGAGGCTGATGAGAAGCCAGAAGTGCCAGAGCTTTTATGTCCACTATGTCGGGGGCAGGTGAAGGGTTGGACAGTGGTGGAAGCAGCCCGAAAGTATCTAAACCAAAAAAGAAGATCCTGCATGCAGGAAAAGTGCTCTTTTGTTGGAACTTACCGGGAGCTAAAGAAACATGTTAAGACAACGCACCCATTGGCATGCCCTCGGGCAGTGGATCCTGTGCTTGAAGAAAAATGGAAAAAGCTTGAGCATGAAAGAGAGTGGAACGATGTAATTAGCATACTTATATCGTCGACACCTGGTGCAATGGTCTCGGGAGATTTTGTGATTGAGCCAGGATATGACGTTTATTCAGATGAAAATGATTCAGATGAAAATGATTCAGATGACTCCCTTGATGATGGCTATTTTCACTTGGAATCGTCTAACCAAGGACAGAGTCGCAACATTCCTTACCACTATTCATTTGATGATCATGGCTTTGGAACGCAGCACATGGTCCTTTCTGTTTCCCCTCATCGTCCTTCCCAGAACATCCAAACATTGAGGGCAGCGCCAGTTAGGAGACTCCCAAGAATTAGAGGACGTTCTCAAGGCTGATAATTTCTATTACAATCTACAAGCAATCAAATGAAGCCCTTGCTGCATCCATTACATGATGCGATGATAACTAGTTTTGATGAATGGCAGGATTCAGAGAGATTGTAGAGAAACCAGGTATTAGGGACGTTTACGGCTTCAGGTATTGAAGCCCCAACCAAGGTATTTGAACTCAGTTCCAAAAGAAAGGAAGGAAAAAGACAAAATAGGTTCCCTCGCATGTGTATGGATAATGGATTAGCCATTATTGTTGGGTCAAGGATCATTTGATCAACTTTGTTTAAAATTGGCAACTTTCCTTTTGTTGCCTCTTGAATTCTTGATTTTCAATGATTTTCTTCTTGTCAATTTTTCTGATTTTGGATTGTAAAATGATTGGCAATTCTTTCTTATTTCTTCAGTCACTTAACTTGTATATTTACTATTTGAATTCAAGATTTAGTACTTTCTTGACTTCCTATATTAATTTTTTGTTAAATTGGATTGCGATAACTCTGAATATAGAATACTAAAATCGGCCTTCTATATTCACTGATGGCTTGAATTATCTCAAAGAAAGAAGGCAAGACGAACTAAACAATAGAAAGAGATGATTTATCTCTTTTTTATTCATGAATTAATCTCAAAATATGATTTAGTGAACTCTTTTATGAAACAAAAAAATGATTTTATATATCAAATATGATTAATTGATTTTATATATCAATTATGATTAATTATGAAATAAAAAAAATGATTTTAGTGAACTCTTTTGATGAATGACGAAATGAAATAAAATTTTATTCATATAGTTTGATTTTTAATTTTTTAAATATAAATTTTAAATGAAAATTTAATAGTCTATATAAACAACAATTAAACTTTTTTTTATACAAAGTTTTTATCAAGTATTTTTATTTGATCAATTTTTTAATAATCATTTATATAATATATTAAAATTTTATCTAAAATTTATATTTAAAGAATTAAAAAAATTAAACTAAACCTACTAAAAATAAACAAATAAAATAATAATTTAAATTGCTTAGGATACTACCCCTCCATTAATTTTAATAAATCTAGTTTTCATGAAGTAATAAATTTGTTACTAATAATTTATATGTTTTTTCTAAGTAAATCAAAGATAGGTTGGTTGCTTCAAAATAAGAAAGCTACAATCTCCTTTAATTTCAAGGTAAAGGATTTAGGAGCAACTTGTAGATAAAAGATAATGACTCCGTACTTTCTTTGTACTTTTTAAAATCATCAATTATATAGTACTCAATTATCATAAAAAATATCAATTATATAGTACTCATTTTCTC